CAAAATTGAAGTGATGATGATAAGCTTAGATAAGGGTAAAATATTCCAAATTAAAATGATAATGTTTTTGTATTCCATAAACAAAGACTTGAAAGGTATATTTACCCTTTTTCGCATCTCTCTTCATATAGTATGATTTACCTAGTGGAATGTCTACTCCATTTCCATGAGTCCGAAACTTGAATAGTGATTTTTTGGGCACAAAATATATTTTTACTGTTAAAAAAAAAAAGGTTACAAAACTACATAATTCGCAGTATAATACTGCGAATTATTAAAATAATAAATTTTTAACACACTTCGCAGTATAAAACTGCGAACAACACTTTGCCCACCAAAATAAAGAAGCAACGTTGGCTCCTAACTTCCTGTGGTCCCCTGTGTTACTTTTGACTTTTTTTGTTCATTTTTTATTCATATAATTCTCCATTGATTATTATTTTTTTTTACTTAAGTTTTTTCCTTAATATTTTAGTATTAAGGAAAAAGTATTGTGGAAAAAGTATTGTGGAAAAAACTAAAATATTAAGGAAAAAACTTAAGTAAAAAAAAATAATAATCAATGGAGAATTATATGAATAAAAAATGAACAAAAAAAGTCAAAAGTAACACAGGGGACCACAGGAAGTTAGGAGCCAACGTTGCTTCTTTATTTTGGTGGGCAAAGTGTTGTTCGCAGTTTTATACTGCGAAGTGTGTTAAAAATTTATTATTTTAATAATTCGCAGTATTATACTGCGAATTATGTAGTTTTGTAACCTTTTTTTTTTAATAGTAAAAATGTATTTTATGCCCAAAAAGTCACTATTTAAGTTTCGGACTCCCATTTCCATGTATACTCATTCTTGGAATGCGCACAAGGGATTTGAATTATTTCATTTCCACTCCCCCCTCCCCCACCCCCCACCCCCAAACCCCCACAAAATGTACATAAGTAAATAAATAAATAATAACTCAAAATGAAACTTAGTATGATTTTCAAGTTGATGTAATCTTTTCTAGTTCAGATATAAGTTAGAAACTTTTTCTTACGTTATTGCAAGAAATATAATTATTTTTTCCGTAGTTTTCAATGAAGAATGAATGTGCTATGTTTAAACAAACATCACGATCCAGCAGTAGCGTATCCAGGATTTTGTGCAAGCGGATTCAATCTTAAAAGTACATAACTTTAGTAGTAAAATAGTAGTTGTCAAGTGGGTTCAAATAAAATATTTATACAAAATTTACGCAACTTTAATCATAATTTATACATATACACACTATTATTTTTGATAAAGTAGATTCAGTTGAACCCGCTGGCCACCAATTGAGTCTGCCACTGCCATCCAGAGTTGTGGGATATATAGATAGGATCCTGCCACCTTTAATTAGAAAATTCGAATTTAAGCTTTGGAAAAGAAAAAGACACTTCCTCCTTTAATGAAATTTACCGGGTACGAATTCAGATTAGTCGGGGCAGCTTCGAAGTGAGTATACACCGCATTGGTTGGAAACGAAAAAAAGAAAAGCAACACTTATGGTTTTTAAGGGCACAAATTTAGTAGAAAATAATAAATAAAATAAAACAAACTGCTGTAGCAATCAGGTTCTATGGTGTAGTGGTTAGCACTCTGGACTTTGAATCCAGCGACCTGGGTTCGACTCCCGGTAGGACCTTCTTATTTGTTATTTTTTTCGTTCTTTCTCTCTCTATTTTGGGTCTTTGAAAAGACAAAAATTGGTTTTCCTTATTCGTTAAACTGAAAAGACTAATCAAGTTAATGAAATGACTAATTAAGCAGCAAATGAATGGTCTAAAACACTAGACAAACTCAATGGTTGGGCTTACTCACTACTCATATCCCATAAACATAAATCTTAAATAATCTAATGGTGCACAATGAGAGCTAAAGAAAGATGTTTAATTGTCTTAAGGGTGGCCAATCGACCACCTTTCGTCGAAAAATCATACTGTGTATTTAGATAATGATTAACTTTTAGAGGTTTATAATATATATTGAACATCCTATGTCGGGGAATTATTTTCACTTCTTTTAATTTTAAATACCCTTGAAAAAATTTCTGGTTTTGTCACTGTCTACCTTGTGTGAGATAGAAAGATTATTTCCTATAAATCTTCGGCGTTTAATTGAGCGGCTCAATTTGCACAAAAAGGTGTTTCACCTGCTCATCAATTTGCACTGTCCTTTCACAATAAACTGAGAAAATTGGAATACAATATTCTACATGGATGGGATGGAACATAGGAATCAATTGCATATAAAAACCAATATTTGAGGCTAGTATGCCCTAAGAATTTTGCTCTTCCTTTTTCCTCATCACTTAACAAATGCTATCATCATTGCACTTTTATGGTTATAATATTCCATTGGCAAATGTGAAATTTTCTCCTTTAAAATCCAAGATTAGGGCCTCTAGTCTCTTTGTAGGCAACAAATCTCACATTTACTTAGCCATGGAACAAGAAAGAAAAATGGAAGTTCAAGAGAGATCAATAGATATTAGTCTCAAAGACCTCTCTAAGCAGCTTGAAGAATTTGCTAAGGTTAGAAATTGGGAAAAGTTTCACAGCCCTAGGAATTTGCTCCTTGCCATGGTAATTCTTTTATCATTTTTTTTTTAACCTTTCTGCCTTTAATATGATCTTCCTCTTCTTTGACTCAAACAAGCATCTTTATCAAAAGACGAATCCAAGATTTGAACTCATTTTTGTTGTTGGTAAAAGATTTCTCACTGTATATAATAACCATTTGCCATGAAAAAATGCTTTAACTTAAAATATAATCCATATTTATTTTGATTAATGGACTAATCCAATTTTTTAGAATTACCTTTGTTGAAGGAGTAATAAGATTGATTTTTAGCTCTTTTCTAAATTAGTCTGATGAAGTTAAAGTTTATCTTTGGCCAATTATAGTATGTCTACACGAGGTGATGTCACCGTGGCGGAAGCAAGATTTTCACCGAGAGGATCCAAAAAATAAAAAAAATAAACATGTGAAGACGTCAAGGGGATTCAACATCTTTTATATATATATATATATATATATGGAAAAAGATTAACCTTTATATATGCAATATAATTTTCGACGAAGGGGTTTCGGCTGAACTCCGTTCTGTCCTTCTAGCTCCGCCCTTCGTGACAATAGCCATATAACATATGTATGAAAGTTAATACCATGCCAATATCATGTTTCCAACTTGGTGGCATAAATAAAGGCTAAGAATCATAACTAACTAATAGATTTCTGTTGCATCTAATTGGCATGTAACTACTTGGCACAATTTTGTACACAAGAAAAAAAAAAGCATCTCTCCATTATTCATGAAAAAAATTGGTTATGCTAATGAGTGATGGTGAGAATAGAGAATAAGATTAGAATATGATTCAATTATGTTATGTCAAATTGAAAATTTCAGGTAGGTGAAGTAGGGGAGCTATCAGAGATATTCCAATGGAGAGGAGAAGTAGACAAAGGGTTACCAAATTGGAAGGAATCAGATAAAGAGCATCTTGGTGAAGAATTATCTGATGTATTGCTTTATCTTATCAGATTGGCTGATATTTGTGGCATTGATCTTGGTGATGCTGCTACTAAGAAAATTGTCAAGAATTCTATCAAATATCCTGAGCCAAATGTCTTTTGATAAAAGACATGTTTTACTTATTGTTTGTGTATCACAAGAGTTTTTTTGTGTGTTTGGTGATGAAGGAAAAAAAAAATACTATATCATTTTGCTGAGACTAAAAATAAAATAGTTTTGCCTTTATTCTGTATTCAAGGCTTTGACATTTTTTTTAAGCTACTTTTGTGCATTAATTACGATGTTGTCAAAAACTCGAGTTTGCACTTAATTCCAAATTGTTATAAATAATTATCTAATGGTGGATGTCCATAACTTCTAAAAGGAGTAATACCCACTACTCTTCTCCATTATCTCCATAACTCTCACTACTCCAATACTTATATGGAGTCATGGTTGTAACTCCCATACCTCCATAACCTCCCCATGATCTCAAATGTTTAATGTCTTGTTTATGGCATTCTTTTGTATACCTCTATGTAATCCTATAAATAGAGGGTTTTGGCATCACATTGTACATACTTGAAACACTTGAATACATGGAAGAAATAAGAATCTCTTCTCTCTTGCTCCCTACATTCTTGTCTATTTTCTTGATTTATATTATTACTTTGAGCTAAGTTTCGTAACACGTTATCAGCACGAGTCTCTATTAAAATATAGCAATGGAACAGTAATTTTCTCACTAACTCAGCTCGGAATGTAGTGGCAACAATGGCGGATGCTCAGATCTGCAATCTCGAAGTTGCATGACAATGGAGGAGGAACATTCTAGAATGTATCGATTTCATTGCTTCTAAAATGTTAAACTTCACTACACACACACACACACACACACACACACACACACACACATATATATATATATATATATATATATATATATATATATATATACAGAGTAACGCACTAAGCTAGGAGGAAGAAGAGAAGCTAGCCTAAGCCACTAACTACCGGCTGATGGACAGTTGTCCAAACTTAACCACTAACTAACTCAACCACTAACCAACTATCTAATTAAGCTAATAATAATAATACAAGCAAATGATTAGCAATAATTAATCTCAACACCCCCCCCCCCCTCAAGTTGGAGGTGTTGCAAACACAGCCAACTTGCGTAATGTGGTGCCATGCTTGATCCCAGTCAAGGCCTTAGTCAGAATATCTGTCAATTGATCATCTGTACCAATGTGGTGGAGTTAGATCAGCCCTGCTTGTAATTGGTCGCGCACAAAGTGACAGTCCACCTCTATGTGCTTGGTCCTCTTGTGGAAGACTGGATTCCTGGCAATGTGAAGCGCAGATTGGCTATCACAATATACTGAAATAGACATTGAAAAGGGGACACTTAGTTCTTCAAACAACCTATTCAACCACACTAGTTCTCCCACCACTTTTCTTAAGGCTATGTACTATGATTCTGCGGAAGACAGTGAAATAGTTTCTTGTTTCTTGGACTTCCAACTAACAGGGCTATTTCCCAGAAGCACCAAGTAGCCTGTGATGGATTTCCTAGAATCTGGACAACTAGCCCAATCTGCATCACAATATGCTCTAATGGTGTAGTCTGTGTCTGTAGACATGAAAATTCCCCTAGTGGGATCACCTTTCAAATACCTAAGGAGGTGAAAGGCTGCTTTCAAGTGTGGCTCTCTAGGCTCTTGCATAAATTGACTTAGGTGTTGAACACCATATGCTATGTCCAACCTAGTGTTAGTTAGGAAATTTAGCTTTCCTACCAATTTCCTGTAGTATGTAGGGTCTTGTAGAATGGCACATTCGTTAGCTTTCAACTTCACTGTAGGATCTAAAGGTGAGGAACATGACTTACAGTCAAGGCAATTATACTCCTTCAGCATGTCCAGTACAAACTTCCGTTGAGATATGATCACACCATCATCTTTGTACATCACCTCTAGTCCCAAGAAGAAATGTAGCTCCCCCAGGTCTTTGATCTTGAACTTTTCATGCAAAAAGTCTTTCAAGTGTGCGATTTCTTCTTCATCAGTTCCAGTAAGCAATACATCATCAACATACACTGCAAGGTACACCAATGAGTGCCTATTCTTCTTGTAAAAGAGAGAATAATCATTCATGGAGTATGTATAGCCTTTTGAGCATAAGGCCTCAGTCAATTTTGCATACCACTGTCGACTGGCTTGTTTCAACCCATAGAGAGACTTGTTTAGCTTGCATACCAGTCCAGGTTTGTCCACAACAAGCCCAGGGGGGATTTGCATATATACTTCCTTATTGAGGTCCCCATGAAGAAAGGCATTGTTTACATCTAGCTGGGATATGCACCAGCCTTTCTTTACTGCTGTGGCTATCAATGCTCTCACTGTTGTCATCTTCACTACTGGGGAGAATGTTTCTGTGTAGTCTATTCCTGCCTATTGTGTGTAGCCTTTCACAACCAACCTGGCCTTGAACCTTTCAATACTACCATCTGCTTTATGCTTCACTTTATAAACTCACTTGCACCCTATTGCTTTCTTTCCTGGTGGTAGAGCTACCAAGTTCCAAGTGTGATTGGAGTAAAGAGCTTCAAACTCCTGTGTCATTGCAGCTTGCCATGCAGGATCAATGGTTGCTTCCTCATATGATGATGGTTCCCTGTCATGAAAAACATTTCTCACAAGAGCTTGACTGTTAGGAGTTAGTAGATCAGAGGCAACATGGTGGTTCACAGAAAATAATGCACTAAGGGAGTTGGTGTTTGGCTTAAGCTTAGGCAGGGAATGTACATAGTCCTGTAAGTGACTAGGTGTTTTATGTGTTCTTGATGACTGTCTCAGTTGTATAGGTTCTGCAGGAGACTGTTCAATATAGCTCTGTGGTGAAGGCTGTGCAGGAGAATTAGGTGACAAATGATCATGTGTAGGTGACATGAAATTAGTTGTGTTCTCAACATTACCCCCTTGAACATCCAAATGATCAGATGTTTGTTGTGTATTGTCTGTACTATCAGAGGGTTCAATGAAAGGAATTGAGTAGGGGGCACTAGATTGGGGACACATGTCTAAGTTGGTTGCAAATGGGAAGATATGAAAGTGACATCTCTGGAAACAGTGATTTTTCTAGTGGCCAGACTTAGGACTTTGTATTCCTTTGTGTTGAAAGGGTAGCCAACAAAGACATGTGGTGTTGTTCTAGGTTCAAATTTATCTCTATGGGGCTTAGGTACAGTAGGGTAGCACAGACACCCAAAACTCTTCAAGTGAGAATATTTTGGCTTTTTCTTGTATAGCAGTTCATAGGGAGTTTGATTATTGATGGAAGTGGAAGGCAATCTATTTATGATGAAGGTTACACATAGAATGCATTCCCCCCAATAATTCTGGCGTAGTTTGGATTGAAAGAGGAGAGCCCTGGCTGTCTCAAGGAGATACTTATGTTTTCTTTCCACCACCCCATTTTGTTGTGGGATGTAAGGGCAAGTCCTTTGATGTATGATGCCTTTAGACTGGAATAACATGGCTGTTTCTGTGTTGGTAAACTCCAGTCCATTATCTGTTCTCACACCTTTAACCTTTACTCCAAATTGGTTTTCTACCAAATTGAGGAATCCTTTGAGGACTTGATAAGCATTGCTTTTACTAGAGAGAAGGTGAGTCCATGTAGTTCTGCTAAAATCATCTACATGGTCATGAAGTACTTATACTTGTCATGTGTGGGCACATGATATGGTCCCCATAAGTCAATGTGTAAGAGCTCAAGAATCTTATTGGTTGTACTAGTTTTCTGAGGAAAAGGAAGTCTTTCTTGTCTGGCCATTGGGCAAATGGTGCAATTGAAGGGCTGTTTGGAGGAAAAGGTTACAGGAATAGAGGGAATGTTCTTCATTTTCACAAAGGGAACATGTCCAAGTCTGTTATGCCACAAAACATCCACATGGTCTTTAACACACATATAAGAAGAAGAACTAGAGCAATTAGAAAAAAAAATCTCAAAAGGAAACTGTCTTTCATTGCCTGCACTTGGACTATTTACAATTGAGGATGAAGAAACACACTTATTGGCATGAGGTGTTATATTCACAACAGAGTGGAGTGGACATTGTGTGTTACAAGTGCAGTGAGTGATAGGAGTGGACATGAAGTCAGTGAAACTTGCTCTAGGACCTGTACTGTTGTTCTTCAAGCACCTTGGACACAGGATGTAGAGCCCATCTTTGACTCTACCAATCACCAGAGGCCTCTTCATTGAAGGGGCCTGCAGTATACAATAAAACTTGATGAATGCAACAAGACAATTGAGATGAGAAGCTAGAGAATGAAACGNGAAAATCAGGTTTGATTTTAAAAAGAAAGGGTACCANTCTATGATCTCAGGAGTAAGTGCAACACTACCAATCTCAGTCACCTTCACTTTATAACCATTTGGGAGAATAACAAGCAGGGGATAAGGTAAGGTTATTATATTGGTTAGTAAGGATCTATTGAAGGTCATGTTGTTTGATGCCCCTGAATCTATAATCCATGAATCAGTCTTATTTTTGAAACATTCACATGAGAGTTTCCCAAAATCGATGGAGGAGGTGCAAGCAATTATACCTGCAAAGTTTGCTGATAAGGTGTTGACATTGTCTACGTTGTCTCTCACTCCTCCTGTTTGGAACTGTTGCAGCAGGTTCACAAGTTGACTGTATTCCTCCTTTGTGAGACTGACATTTTGAGTATTGCAGTTCTCATCACTAGCATTTTGAGTGTCTGTGGCTGCTACATGAGCATTAGTTACTCCTCTATTTCCCCTATTGAACCTGGCACCTTGATTTGCACTTGAATTATTCCCATGGTTATAGCTTTGCCTTGGGTTCTGATTGAAATTGGAAGCTTGGTTGTAATTCAGGTTTGGATTCTGGTTCTGATTTGAGCCTTGAGGATAGACATGAAGCTTATAAAATTTCTCTTTTGTGTGACCTGGTCTTTTACAGTAATCACAGAAGGGTCTATTCCTGTAGCTTTGAGTGTTGTTAGGAGAATAATTTGTTCTAAAAGATGTTGTCCTGCTTGTGTTGACATTCAGGGCTGATGACTCAAGAGCTAAGTAGTTGTGAGGTTTAATTTCCCTTTGTCGTTCTTCCTGAATCAATAGTGAGAAGGCCTGTGCAATTGTGGGAAGGGGGTTCATCATGAGGATACTTCCTCGAACAATAGTATAGGCCTCATTCAGCCCCATAAGGAACTGTATTAGCCTTCTATCATGTTCTGCTTTGTGCATATTTTCCTTTGCTCCACATGTGTAGTTGCATGTGCAATGAGATTTGGCAATCAAGGTATTTGTGTAGTAGCCAGTGATGTCGAGTGCTCCTTGAGATAGGTCGTTAATCTCCTTTTGAATTTGGTAGAGTTTTGTTCCATTTGTTTGATCATATCGATCTTCAAGTTCCTTGCACAATTCGACAGCATCTGTCACATATTCAACACTATCTGCAATATCCTTTTCCAAAGAGATCAAAATCCATGAAGTTACCATATCATCACATCTCTCCCACAATCGATAGCTTGAGGAATCTAGATCTGGCCTTTTGCAGTCACCATTGATGAAGCCCAGTTTATTTTTCACAGAAAGGGCTCTCATCACACCTCTTCTTCATGAGCGATAGCCAAAACCATCAAAAGGAACAGGAACCAAAGCTATTACCAGATTGTCAGAGGGATGCATGTAAAGAGGACTGCTAGCATCAATAATTGGTTGATAGAGAGTTTCAGTCACGGTAGGTGCAGGTCGTTCAATGTCTCCGTCATTAGCCATTTCTTACAGTGTAAGATTCAAACGAAATTCGATCAACTCAGAATTTTAATTTCAAAAAAAAATTTAGAGGAGTAATAGAGGTTTCAAGAGGAAAAACTGTTGTATTTGATGAAATCGAGGTCTGTGTGCACTCGATTAGAAAAGCAAAAACAAAACGAAGATTACGAGATTAGATTCAAAAGATCTAAGAAATGAATTGAAATTCCTAACCTATGCTCTGATACCATATTAAAATATAGCAATGGAACAGTAATTTTCTCACTAACTCAGCTCGGAATGTAGTGGCAACAATAGCGGATGCTCAGATCTGCAATCTCGAAGTTGCATGATAATAGAGGAGGAACATTCTAGAATGTATCGATTTCATTGCTTCTAAAATGTTAAACTTCACTACACACATGTATGTATATATATATATACAGAGTAACGGACTAAGCTAGGAGGAAGAAGAGAAGCTAGCCTAAGCCACTAACTACCAGCTGATGGACATCTATCCAAACTTAACTACTAACTAACTCAACCACTAACCAACTATATAATGAAGCTAATAATAGTAATACAAGCAAATGATTAGCAATAATTAATCTCAACAGTCTCTAACCAATTGAATTTGATTTCTTCCTTCTTCAAGAATTTCTTTATAGAAAAATGGAAGAGATGGTATCATCATAAATTATTGCAATGGGATGGGAACTCAAGCAGTATATTTGATATCACAACATTTGTTGGTATAGCTTAAAGGTAACAAAGGTATAGCTGTAACGCACAAACCTTTATGCTATATTTCACTACTTTTCCAAAAAGATATGGTTTGTGAAATCTTGGTTTATGCAATTTGTACTTTATGGAGTTACATATCCACAAATATGTTACTGCCATCACATAAGATAAGATATTTAAAAAAAATGCACGTCAAGTAGTCTTGTATAGAATAGTTCTTAAATCAGAAACTTCCTATGATCAATAATTAATAAAAGCTAAAGATAAATTATGATTTTAAATACATATTGAGCTATATTTTTAATGAATAGTAGGCAGTGCTTGCATAAGAGATGCACTTCATTGTAATTGTCATTCATCCCTTGGATTATATTCCTTTTCCTGGAAATAGTAACTATTTATATTAACTACAATGCATTTCCTTTTGCATGATTACAGTGAAGGTAAGTAAAGTTCTTTGCAATTTTATTTAAGTTATTTAAATTCGGACCGGTAATACTTTTTAAAGGCTCAAGGGTGAGTCATAGTGCATTTTGGTCTATTATGACATTGGATAAGGGTAAGACGTTGGGTTCAAGTCCCAACGCACCATGAGAAAAGACATCGGGTTTGAGTCCTGGTGCAACATGATGATAAGAGTTGGGTTCGAGTCCCAATGCATTATAGCCTTACATGCCTTTATATGGGTAAGGCATTGGGTTTGAGTCCCAATGCACCATACTGATGATCTAATGATGACTAATGAAAATAATTTTTCGTGACTGTATGCATGTACGAGGGCATGGCAAGCAACGAATAATAGTTGTCATCACTATGGTAACTATAAAAGGAGAACAATAAGGGTTCTCGAAGTAATCCTTCAATAGGTGAAGGAAATATTTACCATCAAATTGGTATGAAAAATTTATAAAGCACGTCGCAATAATTATATTCCATTCTTTGAAGAGAATGTGACTTGTGCATTGAGAATGCAGATTCATTCCTGAAGGTGAATGTAACAATATGTGATAAAAGTAATGAATAAAGACGTGCAATGCATGATTGGATATACATCACAACTCACCTCTAAGGGAGGTTTGAGAGAAAGAGAGATAACGAATATTACTGTGTGGTTACATGAATATGTCATTGGTCGCGTACATGTGGTACGCCAAAAAATAATTTGACATGTCTTATAAAAAGTTATTAAAGGGAAAATTAAAGCAAGAAAAGATTTTGCTTATGATGATTTTGACCATGACAATTATTATGATAAGATAATTTTCTCCGTGGAGGAAAAATTCACCACTTGGATGGTGTTATAAAAAATCTTGTAGTGCAAAATTATTGAGAGCTCTAGAAGAGCGAATTTGTTACTACCCGAATAAATAAAATTATTCATGGCATTGGTGGTGGTAAGTCTCAAAAGAAACTTTTTGAGTTTCAAATGTATTAGCCAAAGTGGTTGGCATATTGAGACTATAAATGAAAGGAATATTGATTATCTTCATATTACTATAACATATCGGGTAAATATGAAGGTTACCCCATTTTTCTTCTATTTGTACTACAGACGTATAAGCATGATGATGAAATCACATGTCATAGTAAATTAAATATTTACTGAAATAAATATCAGTTGGCATGACCGGTTGGCCATCCTGGTTCAATTATGATGTGAAATTGATTGAGAATTCACACTGGCATATATTGAAGAAATTATAAGATTCTTCAAGAATTCTATTGTGCTGCTTATTCTCATGATATACCAGCTAAGGTTGGGATTGAATTCCTTGATTTCTAGAACGAATAAAAGGTGATATATTTATGGGCCCAGTCACTGTGACGACCCAAAGGGTCATTACCTGTTTTCTCACTCATCATATGTCTCCGAGGCCTTCAAAACCTCATCTAGGCTTGCCTCGATTTGCGTGCGCAGTTCGGGCGCGTAGCCGGGAAGCTTAAATATAAATTCTGTGTAAAAAAAATTGATGAAATTTGATATTAATATGAATAAAGTTGACTTTGATCAATATTTTGGGTAAACGGACCCGGACTCGTGATTTGACGGTCCCGAAGGGTCCGTAGAAAAATATGGAACTCGGGCGTATGCCCGGAATCGAAATACGAGGTCCCGAGCCCGAGAAATGAATTTTTAAAAGAAATTATTTTACTGAAATTTATATGGAAATTTGAAATGAAAATGGATTAGAAAGCGTTGGTATCGGGCCCGTATTTTGGCTCCGGCGTCCGGTACAGGTCTTATATGTGGTTTAAGCGCTTCCTGTGAAATTTGGTCGAAATCGGACGTCGTTTGACGTGTTTCGGACCTAAATATCTAAAAATAAAAGTTTAAGAAGTTTGATGAAAAAGTGATGATTTTTAGGTTTGATTCCTCATTTATGATGTTATTGTGGCGATTTAATCGCACGGTTAAGTTCGTAGGGTGTTGTTGAGTTAGTGTGTGTGTTTGGTTAGGAGCCCCGAGGGCTCGGGAGTGTTTTCGGAGGTGGTTCGGGGTGTTTTGAACTTAGGAAAAATTGCAGAAATGTTCAGTTCTGATATCTGGTATGTTGTTCTATGCGATCGCATAGGAGCTTCCGCGATCACATAGTGTAAATCTTGAATTGCCCAGTTTTGTTCTATGCGATCGCACAGTAGACTCCGAGATCGCGTACCTCAGCCAATTCCTTCTATGCGATCGCACCCTTCCCTCTGCGATCGCAATGTACAAAACCCAGCCTCCATCTTAACCTTCTATGCGATCGCATTCACCAGCCCGCGATCGCAGTGCCCAGCCAGCCTTACCCTATGCGATTGCAATCCCTCTTCCGCGATCGCATAGGGCATTTTTGCCCAGTTATTTTAAAAGCCTAAAAACAGAACAGTGACGGGATTAATCCAAATTTCACACGAGCTCTTCTTCTCCACAGCCCCTAGGCGACTTCTAGAGCGATTCTTCACCAAATATTCTTGGGTAAGCATTATCTAACTCGTTTTCTTCATTTTCTATCATCATCCATTGAAATCCTAGGCCTAAACCATGTAATCTAGGGTTGAAATTGGGGGAAATGGGTAGAGTTAGGGTTTTTCGATTTTCTTCGATTTAGACCTCGTTATGGGGTCGAATTTGAAAACAAATTGTATATCCGGACTCGTGGGGGAATGGGTGATGTAAAAATTGGTTCTAACCTCGGGTTTTGACCAAGCGGGCCCAGGGTCGATTTTTGGAATTTGGGAAGAAGGCTTAGAAAACTATATTTAGGCATTGGGTTTGATTTGTTTAGCTTATATTAATGTTGTAAAGTCGTTATTTCATAGATTTGGTTGAGTTGGAGCCGAATTCGAGAGGAAAAGCGGTCGTTGTGGATTGATTTAGCCGTGGAAGTTGAGGTAAGTGTTTGATCTAACTTTGGCTTGAGGGAATAGGATTAGAGTATTATTTGCTAATTGCTAAATGTGGAGTACGGTGTATAGGCATGGTGACGAGTATCTATACACCGGTGTCTAGCATGACCGTGAGTCCTTATTTGTGCTTATTTGGGATTCTGTAGTGACTCTACCTTGTTTAATTGATGGTTGCTATATAATGTGAACAGTATGAAAAGAAAATATGACTTGTAAACTCCTTGGAGCGTTGGCTCGACTTATGACTTGGTTAGGAAGTAAGAAATGAACGAAAGAGAAAGAGATGTAATTATTCCCTTGCCGGGACGTGTAAGTTATTGTCGTTGCTCCCTTGCCGGGAACTAGCGGTTTACTTGTATTCTCCCTCGCCGGGATAGTTGAATTGATACTTGTACCCTTGCCGAGAAACCACTTATATATTATGAAATGGGATCGTGTGGCACGCCGACCACTTATATATTATGAAATGGGATCGTGTGGCACGCCGACCACTTATATATTATGAAATGGAATCGTGTGGCACGCCGACCACTTATATATTATGAAATGGGATCGTGTGGCACGCCGACCACTTATATATTATGAAATGGGATCGTGTGGCACGCCGACCACATTATATATTATGAAATGGGATCGTGTGGCACGCCGACCACTTATATATTATGAAATGGGATCGTGTGGCACGCCAACCACTTATATATCATGAAATGGAATCGTGT